TAGCGGGTGTTTTGGTGTAGTTTGTTTACTTCTTTCCTGTCAAACATCCATCTGTGGGTGGTTGGAGTGTGCTCTGGTGTGGTTTGCTTCTTCTTTCCTATCAAACATCTAGCTTCTTTGTCGCCCCTCCTCCTTTCTTGTGTTTGTTGCTCTCTTGTAAAAACTCTAATCTTCGGCACTTGTATAACCTTATTGTGTTGCAAGTGCCGTAAAACTTTTACTAAAGCTAAAAACATCCATCGTCCGTGTTAAATCCCCCCTCTAACTAGTTGTGTTTGCTTGTGTCTTGTAGCACCTCAAATCTTCGGTACTTATATGACTTTATTGTGTTGCAAATGACGTGAAAGTATTACTAAAACTATGCTTAGTCGTGGGGATGTAATAATACAGAACGTGTGTGGGTCTCATTGTGTAACCTACCTCATTGCATCATCTGTCCAATAGTAAAGGTAGTAACTGAGACTGGACAGCATGTCGTTATCGTCCCTCCCCCCACCCCCTCAAATGACCCTAAGTTCTTTCCTTACCCTTACTGTCGTCAATTTTTCCTCTACTTCTTTTGACCCTCCCTTGTGAACTGCTATTTCCGGGGTGCCTTGATAATCAAAGTAGACTTTGTGCAATTGAGGCTTGAGAGGTGAGCAGAGTAAGCCGGATTCCCCGTTTGAACTTCTCTCTGTTGACATCCACCCCTAGGCGCTCATATGACCTTATGCAGTTGCGAGCGCCGTAAAACCTTACTAAAACTAAAAACATCCGACTCACTCCCAGGCTATTTAAACCCAACCATTTTTTAAAGTGACAAATGACTGAGCTTTACTCTTGTTTGGTTTTAGTAGTAAGAGTTTTACGGCACTTACAACACAATCAGGCCATAGAAGTGCCGAAGATTAGAGGTGTTACAAGAGAGTAACAATCACAGAAAAGAAGGAGTAGAGATAAGGAAGATAGATGGATGTTTGATAGAAAAAAAAGGAGCAAACCACACCACCCACAAACCACCCTCAGTCTTACACTGAGCAGTCGAATATAATTAATACTGTTTTTAATAACATTATTAGTGGTGGTAGTAGTCGTGGTAGTGGTAGTAGTGGGGGTGGTGTTGTTATTGTTACCATCATTGTTATTATATTATTATTATTATTATTA